TGCTCTTACACATGGAAAAAAACCTTTTTATAGGTGAAAATGTTGCCAAAGTAAAAAGTCAGCTCATTTTGATTTTCAATTGTGAGAAAAGGAATACTCATGACTCTTTCCCCACATTTCTTCCTCTCTCCTCCCCAAGCTAGTCTTTTCTTCAGTTTCTGATGAGGACTGCACCTAATTTATTGATGTTTTCCTGAGACAAGCTTTCAGATTGCCAGGGGATATCACTAAAGTAAAACAAAACCACCACTGCTCATTTTAAGAACCACCATCAGTTTTAGAAGAGCTCTAAACTGAATGCTAAAAAAGAACAGATCAAATGTCTTTAGAAGATTTATAAGTAAATTTTATATAAAACTCTGAATATTAAACGACTTTCAAGGGGTTGACTTCTAGGCTACAGAACACTGTTAAATGTAAAGAACTGCTGGCTAATAACATGTAAAAGACTAGGTTTTGCGACGCTACAAAAACAATAAAAATACTGTATTACTTTAAGATATTTTTGTTTCAAAATAATCCTTATTATGTGAAAAGGAAGAAAAACAGTACCTTGGAAAAAATTGGTTTTAGATGCTTTAAATCACTATTATAAAATTTGCCAATATGTAAATAAAACATGGGTTATATGCAAAGCAATTTATTGTGTAGGCTAATACAACCTTTCAATTAAAATTCCATCAATTACCCTTTCAGGTAAGAAGTACTCAAATAGTTTTTCCTTGTTCATCTGCACAGCTTGTGTTCCATTGAACCAAAATGCTGTTAGTGTATTAGTTAAGATTGGGAGGCTTACAGTTATCAGTAACAACAAAAATGGATATAAATGTAGAACTTAAATAACTAAATCTGAAATAGATAATGAAATCTGAACCCATGCAAACAGTACCATTTAACTAGAATAGTTTCCTACATGGAAAAAGTGAAAGAGAAATTACCTTTTCTTGAAGCAACTTTGAGGAAGCTGCATCACGATTTCCTTTTCCACCAGCAGTATTAAAATGAGACCATGGTAAAACTGAATTAAAAGTTAAGGAATCATCCAAGGCAAAATCTGGTTTCATAAAAATCTATTAAAAAATGCATTTCCTTCAATTAGATAAGTATTTGCTTTATATCCAACACCTCTTCTAACATCATGATCATTAAACAAAATTAACATATATCTTGAGTGTGAATAGCAAAAGTGAAAACGGCTGAGTTATTTACACAACTAACTATAAGAAAAATGTAAATAACATCTCACCAACTTTAAAATACTCATAAAAGACAGAAAATGTTTTTTGCCATTACCAATGGAGATGGTCATTCCATTAATACATGATCAAACCCACTAATGCAGTCCTACCAGGTACATATCAGAGGCAGATATAATACTTAACCTAAAATTTCCATATTATTTTCCACTGATAGTTTTTTAAATGCCAAATATCAACTTTTCTAACTTACATTTCTATTTTCTCCTGCTCATAATTGTTTTGAAATTAGTTTAGATTAAGCATATGATAAATATTAAAACCAAAACAAATTAAACTTTATGAATAGACTACTTTTCCCTTACATATCACAATCAGCTAGGCAATAAGACCTACCTGCTATATTTCATAAATATCCCTTGAATCCATGCTTTCCTGTATCTCCACAGCATTCACTAGTTCAGCTATTCAGTATCTCTGGTTTATAGTAAATGGCTATTTACTGATATCCTTCCCTAATCTATTCCCTATACTGCTATTGGAGGTACTCCTCTAAAATGTCAAGTGTAACTGTATTAACTTCCCTGTTTAAAACTCTCAATGGATTCCCATGACCCACAGACTTAACTATTTAGAATGGCATCCAAAACCCTCCATTGTTTTTCTGGACCCACTCACCTCTTTGTATCATGTCACTCCCACTATTTACCCATTACACTCTAGCAATATTCAAATCTCTTCCATACTCTTAAAGTATGTAAATATTTAAATACATACTTTGGGCCTAAAATGCCTTTTCTTGTACATTGTCCTGAAGAACATGACCCAATCAAAAGGGCAAATGTGTCCTTGTGCATGAATGACTACCATCTCTGAACACAAATATATCATGAATACTTATTTACCTCATACTTCATAGAAATTATTTATTTAGTATGCATATCTCCCCCTGGACACCATATGTTCCTACAGGGTTAGACTTAGAGCTTATTTTTGTATCTCTAGCACCTAGCATAGGGACTAAAACATGGTTTAATCAATTTATGTATTTATTTATATACTGTATTTTATGTATTATTTTACCTATATACAAAAATTAGAATGAATATGGTAGAAAAAGATCTAACTAGAGACATGAGTAAATTTTCTAATCCCTGCTTTGGTATTATAACTAAAAGTATTGATTAATTCAATAAATATTTACTGTTTCTGATGCTAGGCACTGAGGGAAAAACAAAGATAATTCATTACAGAGATCCTAATCTCATGGATCTTCAATTCAAGGAATGTGATAAAATATGTATATAAAATATTATAAGGAGACCAGGCATGGTGGCTCACGCCTGTAATCCCAGCACTTCAGTAGGCCAGGTGGGCGGATCACTTGAAGTCAGGAGTTTGAGACCAGGCTAGTCTGGCCAACATGGCGAAACCCTGTGTCTACCAAAAATACAAAAATTAGCTGGATGTGGTAACAGGCACCTGTAATCCCAGCTACTCAGGAGGCTGAAGTAAGAGAATCGTTTGAACCTGGGAGGCACAGGTAGCAGTGAGCCAAGATCGTGTCACTGCACTCCAGCCTGAGTGACAGAGACTCTGTCTCAAAAAAAAACTATTATAAGAAGAGGGACAAATGCTTCAAGGGGTAGCAGAGGGATGAAGGAAGAGTCCCTGATAAAATGTTATGGAAATTTGGCGAAGGGGCCAATTATATTCTGTTGGGAAGAACAGGAAAGTACCCATGTAAAGTTGCCGTTTTAAGCAAAAGATTGTCATTAGATATGGGAAGATGAAGAAAAGTCTTCCAGGATCAAGAAATGGTGCAAATAAAGCACAGCGCCATCAAAAAAAAGTTTGGCTAAAGTAAAGAATGTGTAAAGATTACATGAAAGTGAACAATGAGCCTTAAACGATAAAGTTTGAATTTTACTTTGTCGGACCAAACAGATGATATAAATAATATCCTTCTCCCTTTTTGGTGTCTTTCATCTTCTCTTTCTTACCCTAAAGAACAATTGTCATAGACCTATTTGAGAATCTGATGAAGGTAACTGACACTCTTGCCAGAAAAAAAATGCATCTATTACACAACTTGTTAACATTTTTCATACAAACTAGGTATCTCTTAATAATTTAAAGAGGTAGAATGATCAGCAAAAATTTTTATGATGGAAAGACTCAGAAATATTTGTAGGTTTCAGTGATGAGAAAGAGACTGATGATGCAAAAGAGAAACACCATAAATACATGTCATTTTGTCCATTAAAAACAGTTTTCAATTAAAAAAAAAAAAAAAGGCCAGGCACAGTGGTTCACGCCTATAATCCCAGCACTTTGGGAGGCAGAGGCAGGCAGATCACTTGAGGTCAGGAGTTCGAGACGAGCCTGGCCAACATGGTGAAACCCCATCTCTACTAAAAGTACAAATAAATAAATAAATAAAAGTGGGCCAGATGCGTGGTGGCACGCATCTGTAATCCCAGCTACTCGGGAGGCTGAGGTGGAAGAATCACTGGAACCCAAGAGATGGAGGTTATAGTGAGCTGAGATCGTACCACTGCACTCTAGCCTGGGAGATGGAGCAAGACGGAAGGAAGGAAGGAAGGAAGGAAGGAAGGGAGGGAGGGAGGGAGGGAGGGGAAAGAAAGAAGAAAAATGATGCATCACAGCCCCAGAAGAGACAAAATAGCCAGTGTCAAAAAAGAAAAAAGAAAAAAAGGCCAAATGAAAGCTCTTTGTAAGGCAAAATTAAAGATCAAATATTAAAAGGTAATATTCTCATGTTTAAGCTTTGTTACCTTAGGTACTTGCTCCAGATCTGTCCTGGATTTATCTATTTAAAAAGAAGGGAAAATATTATTTTTAAAACCTGTTTTCATTTTACCTCCATAAAATACGTTTTGACAGATTCAGTATTGTTTTGGGTCACATGCAAATAACTACTTCAGTTTATTTCTTCAACAAGTATCTATCAAGCACCTATGGTATGCCTAGTAGTAGGCAGAGCACTGAACAAAACAATGTTTCAAGTAACTGCAAACAATTATATTGCAGCAATAAAACAGCTAAATACATCTCAAATCTGTTTTAACTGGACGTACAAAGCTTTATACTATCTCAGTGGTCCCCAATCCCTGGGCTACGGACAGGTAGTAATCCACAGCCTGTTAGGAACCAGTAGCTGAGCAGTGGGCATAAGCAAAGCTTCATCTGTATCTACAGCCACTCTCCATGGCTCACATGACCGTCTGGGCTCCACCTTCTGTCAGATCAGTGGAAGCATTAGATTCTCATAGGAGCACAAACCCTAATGTGAACTGCACATGAGAGAGATCTAGGTTATGCACTCTTATAAGAATCTAATGTGGTGGGCTGGGCGCAGTGGCTCACACTTGAAATCCCAGCACTTTCTGAGGCCAAGGTGGGTGAATCGTGAGGTCAGGAGATTGAGACCATCCTGTTCAACATGGTGAAACCTGGTCTCTACTAAAATACAAAAAAATTAGCCAGATTGCCTGAAGTCAGGAATTCGAGACCAGCCTGGTCAACACAGCAAAACCCCGTCTCTACTAAAAATACAAAAATTAGCTGGGCATTGGTGGTGTATCCCTGTAGTCCCAGCTACTCAGGAGGCTGAGGCAGGAGATTCGCTTGAACCCAGGAGGTGGAGGTTGCAGTGAGCCAAGATTGTGCCACTGCACTCTAGTCTGTGACAGAGCAAGCCTCTGTCTTAAAAAAAAAAAAAAAAAAAGAATCTAATAATTTAATGCCTCATGATCTGTCATTGTCTTCCATCTCCCCCAGATGGGACCATCTAGTTCCCGGAAAACAAGCTCAGGGCTCCCACTGACTCTACATTATGGTGAGTTGTAGAATTATTTCATTATATATCGCAACGTAATAATAGTAGAAATAAGGTAATGCACTTGAATCATCCCAAAACTATCTCCCCCCATGCCTTGGTCTGTGGAAAAACTGCTTTCCACGACACCAGTCCCTGGTGCCAAAGATTGAGGACCACTGTGCTATCTTTTTAAGTTTTGGTAAGATTAAATATGGCATGCTATGTTAATTTTTTAAAATAAATTAAATTCTAAAATAGGAACACTGTTTCTACTGTTTAAAATATCTACCACTCCATCCAGAATTTCTTATGATCAAAGGTTGCTTTTTTATACCATATTAATTTTCTTCTCAGACATCTTAGTTTATATCACATATACACATCTTCAAATGAAGCTACTTTCATCCTGCCAATCCAAACTCAGATAAGATACCCCTCTCCTGTTCAAAATCAACCTTTCTGCACTTGGACTCCATTCCCTCCTGCCTCTTCTGTGAGCTTGCCTAATCAATTTACTCTGCCTATCTCTGTATCTTCACCCTCTTCCCTTATACTAGCTCTCTTATCTCTGTATATAAACATGCTCAGTTCTTTCCCACTAAAAATAGATATTTACATATATATGTATATACGTGTGTGTGTGTGTGTAGAGAAAGAGAGAGAGAGAGAGAGAGAGAGAGAGATTGATCTGTATATCTATTTATATATAGAAAGAAAAAGATAAAACCCAGGGCCAGGGCCAAGTTGAGGCAAGGGCGGGACCTCAGATGCAAAAGCACCCATTTTCAGGGATAGTCAAATGCCTCTCTTACCTCATCTAGTCCTGGCCATGAAAAGATAAACTTCCACTCTGTTCCCTGTAGTCAATAATCTCAAATTGGCTAGGCGTGGTGGCTCACGCCTGTAATCCCAGCACTTCGGGAGGCTGAGGCCGGTGGATCATGAGGTCAGGAGTTCAAGACCAGCATGGCCAAGATAGTGAAACCTCATCTCTACTAAAAATACAAAAATTAGCCAGGTGTGGTGGCGGGCACCTGTAATCCCAGCTACTTGGGAGGCTGAGGCAGAGAATTACTTGAACCCGGGAAGAGGAGATTGCAGTGAGCCTAGATCACGCCATTGCACTCCAGCCTGGGCAAGAGAGTGAGACTCTGTCACAAAAAAAAATAATACTAATCTCAAATCTTCTAGTGACATAATACTGTTAGTCTACATTTGTTTCTCTTATAATCACTCCTTAATATATAGTATTGAAGTTTCTGGCACTGCTATTCCAGTCTAAATGCTCTCCCCTAAAACCTCCTCATTGCCAAAACAAAGGAGACTTCTCAGTGTACAAATGGATCTATCCCTGAAGTATTGTGACATTATAGACCAACTAACTGTTCTTACTTTTCTGAAACCCTCACTACCTTTAACTTCTAAGGTTCAATTCTCTCCTGGCTGACTTTCCTATCTCTCTGACCACTTTCTGTCTCCTTCACAGGTTATCTCATCTTCTGCCTGCCCCTTTAATGTGACAGTTTAATAGTGTTTGATCATCAGTTGTTTTTCTCATCATTATTAACATCTTGCCTGGGTGACCTCACCCAATGTCCTTGGATTCAACTACCATGCTATTGTCTAGCATACCTGTCTATGATGATGTCTACCATACCTATATCGTCAGCCTAAATCTTCAACCTGAACTCCAGGTTGCCAACCAGACATGTCCTTCACTGCAAATCTGCAACTAAACTTGCCTCCATCTTCCTCAAAATTTCTCCTCCTATATTGCCTCTCTCACTGAATTGTACTGTCACCTACCCAGTTGTCCAAGCAAAAAACCTGGGAATTGTCCTTGAATCATCTTGCTCCATTACCAGCAACCGACTGGCCACCAAAACCTGTGTCTCAATCTCTGAGTTATTTCTTAAAGGCCTAATTTCCTCTTCATCTCCATTGTAACTGTTATTGGAATCATATCATTTCTCATTTGTATTACCACAGTAGCCTCCAACTGTCTCCTTGCCTCTAGTCTTATCATCATCCCATAATTCACTATCCACAACTGTTTTCACATAAATGTATAATCATAAATCTGATATCCCTAGTTAAAAATATTATGTAGCTTTATAGTGTCTTCAGAAAAAGTAAAATTCCTTACCATAGCATAAAAGGTTCTTCATGATCTGACCCCTGCCTATGCTTCAGTCTCATCTCTTGCTCCTAGTAGAACCAACATATTAAATTCTTACAGTTCCTTGACCATTCTGTCTCTCTTTATTCTGTGGCTTTGTATAAACTATTCTCTTTTCTTGGAATGTCTTCTCCCACATAAATGTTTCAAACTAATGACTTTAAAACACATGTAATCACTGTCAATTCTAGAATTGCTTCTAAAACTAAGTTAGGCATGTTATACAACTTTACCACACTGAACTTACTCTTTAATATACAGTGATACAATTATTGGTTTATTTCTTTAACCTTCTTCAGGAGAACATCAGTTCTTTGAGGACCAAAGCTATTTTTTACTCATCTATAGATTTACTTTATGGTCTCACTAAGTTATTTTTCTCAGACTCATAGACTCAAGCAATCCTCCCACTTCAGTCTCCCAAGTAGCTGGGACTACAGTCACATGCCATCATATCCAGCTTACACATCTATTTTTAAGCAACAAGGAACATACCAAGTACAAAGATATTTAATCAATATTTATTGAACTGAAGGGTTATACTACTGTCAGATCTATTTTTCTCTTAAAAGTTTTTAGAAAATATTATAATAATAGATTACAAAACTTTTACTAGACATAAAAATTACAGACATAGGAAATAAGGTCTCAAAATGAAGATTCTGTTCACTAATATTTATGCTATGCTTTATTATCTATAAATAACATATATTCATACCATGAGTATGTAAGAGAGTCCTTTCAAAGGTATCTTTAGGAGGACAAATATTCTTGCATCTCTCATGAATCTTCTCTCTCTAATAAAAAGACAATGTGATCAATGCATGTATAAACATGAGTATTCAAAGCATCAAAATGTTTTGCAACCGAGTATCGGAATATGCCATATTAGTCTAACAACTTTTATTTTTTTCCTTTGATCTTAGGTGTGTGTGTTTTTAAAAAAATTATTATTATACTTTAAGTTCTGGGATACATCTGCACAACCTGCATGTTTGTTACACAGGTATACACGGTATCATGGTGGTTTGCTGCACCCATTAACCCATCATCTACATTAGGTATTTCTCCTAATGCTGTCCCTCTGTTGGCCTCCCACCTCCAAACAGGCCCTGGGGGTGTGATGTTCCCCTCTCTGCGTCCATGTGTTCTCATTGTTTAACTTCCACTTACGAGTGAGAACATGCAGTGTTTGGTTTTCTGTTCCTGTGTTACTTTGCAGAGAATGATAGTTTCTAGCTTTATCCATGCCCCTGCAAAGGACATGAACTCATCCCTTTTTATGGCTATATACTATGGTATTCCATTGGTGTATATGTGTCACATTTTCTTTATCCAGTCTGTTGTTGATGGGCATTTGGGTTGGTTCCCAGTCTTTGCTATTGTGAACAGTGCCACAGTAAATATATGTGTGCATGTGTCCCTATAGTGGAATGATTTATAATCCTTTGGGTGTATACCCAGTAATGGGCTTGCTGAGTCAAATGGTATTTCTGGTTCTAGATCCTTGAGGAATCACACACTGTCTTCCACCATGGTTGAACTAATTTACACTCCCACCAACAGTGTAAAAGCATTCCTATTTCTCCACATCCTCTCTAGCATCTGTTGTTCCCTGACTTTTTAATGATCACCATTCTAACTGGCATGAGATGATATCTCAATGTGGTTTTAATATGGATACGCTGATAAGCAACTTCAAGAAAGTCTCAGGATACAAAATCAATGTGCAAAAATCACAACATTCCTATACACTAATAACAGACAGAGAGCCAATCATGAGTGAACTCCCATTCACAACTGCTAAAAAGAGAATAAAATACCTAGGAATACAACTAAAAAGAGATGTGAAGGACCTCTTCAAGGAGAACTACAAACCACTGCTCAAGGAAATAAGAGAGGACACAAACAAATGGAAAAGTATTTCATGTTCATGGACAGGAAGAATCAAGGTCGTGAAAATGGCCATACTGCCCAAAGTAATTTACAGATTCAATGCCATCCCCATCAAGCTACCACTAACTTTCCTCATAGAATTGAAAAAAACTACTTTAAATTTCATGTAGAACCAAAAAAAAAGAGCCTGCATAGCCAAGACAATCCAATGCAAAAAGAACAGAACTGGAAGCATCATGCTACCTGACTGCAAACTATATATTCCAAGTCTACGTTAACAAAAAGATCATGGTACTGGTACCAAAACAGATATACAGACCAGTGGAACAGAACAGAGGCCTCAGTAGTAACACCACACATCTACAATCATCTGATCTTTGACAAACCCGACAAAAACAAGCAATGGGGAAATGATTCCCTATTTAATAAATGGTGTTGGGAAAACTGGCTAGCCATATGCAGAAAACTGAAACTGGATCCCTTCCTTACATCTTCTACAAAAATTAACTCAAGATGGATTAAAGACTTAAACCTAAGACCCGGAACCATAAAAACCCTAGAAGAAAACATAGGCAATACCATTCAGGACACAGGCATGGCCAAGACTTCATGACTAAAACACCAAAATCAACAGCAACAAAAGCCAAAATTGACAAATGGGATCTAATTAAACTAAAGAGTTTCTGCACAGCAAAAGAAACTATTATTAGAGTAAGCAAGCAACCTACAGAATGGGAGAAAATTTCTGCAATCTATCCATCTGACAAAGGGCTAATATCTAGGATCTACAAAGAACTTAAACAAATTTACAAGAAAAAAACAACCCCATCAAAAAGTGGGTGAAGGGTATGAACAGATACTTCTAAAAAAAAAAAAAAAGACATTTATGCAGCCAACAAACATATGAAGAAAAAGCTCATCATCGCTGGTCATTAGTCCTATA